ATACAATTTTCATGTAAACAAACAATGTACCAAAATGAACTTCCATATAGACAATAAAATGTAATGAAAGTGAATTGAAAATTTAATTGTGCTAAACTGTAAAAACTGTAAAAAATTTTGTAAGGCAATATCCTACCCATTTTCCTTCCTCTTTTCAGAATCTTCAACATCATGAACAGCCAAGGTGTAATATTAGACGATCTGTGGTAGATTTGCAATGTAAATTACAGGAATTACAAGCAGAAAGAGATAGCCTGATGAATCTCAGGTATGTGAATTATCGTCAGGAAATTTGGTGAGTCCAGTATTTTCATGTGATACAATAATCATGGCATCAAATGTGACCAATTTGATTGGATTCTAGCTTCACATTCCTAAAGATCAGTAGTTTGTCATTTTTTTAAGAGGTGCCTTTTACTTATGGAATGAATAAGCTCGCTGTTTGTTGAGCTTGCTGAACTTGAAGTAACATACAGTGATTTCTGGCTTAAACAAACTGTTGTTTCTATTTTCAAAGGAATCTGTCTGCTTTCACCCATTACTCATGAAGACTATGACAACCTGTCAAGCTTTACCTTCATCTGTCTTAGCTGTCCCTCTAATATCTTGTCCAATCAGCCAGGGCCAACAGAGAATGGCATTTTCCACTGAATTTTGTATGTGTACACAGGAAGAGTCATTAGGTGTGGGAAATGTGGCTGGTTTTCATTTTTTACCTGGACGCCTTAATTTATTCTTTTTTTGCAAATCTACTGAGGCCAGTGATGGAACACTGAAGCAAGCTAGCTGTAAATCAATTAGTTAACCAGGGATTAAAGCTGGAAAATTCCTTCTGTGTGCAAACCAGATTATGTATTTCAATCAAAGAGACAAACGTTTTAAAGAAAAATTGTAGTCCACATATTCTTCATGATTCTCTCTCGTCCATCTTCATGCATTGACATGCTCTTCCAGAGTGGAAACTCTGTTAACATATCAGATGATGTTGCTACGATGTCCTATGACAAAACCACCAGATTTTGTGCAATGGTGGCACTTGGAAACGTGTTCATTGGTATTTCCCCTTGTTTACTCTGCTTCTCTGTTCTATGATCCCAATTGCATTTCTATTTTGATGCAAAAATTGTATTGGATTCTCCTATACACACACACACAAACATACATATACACACACACACACACAAACATACATATACACATACACACACACACAAACATACATATACACATACACACACACA